CTTTGCAAGTATGGCAGGTGGTCTGTTCTTCCTACTTCCCAGCTCCAGAGCACAGAAGAGTCTACTGCAAACTCATCCCACAGCCTTGGCTGGGAGCTCAAGCAGCATTTTGGGTTCTTTGCTGTATTTTCAGATAATTTTACACTGCTGGTGTGAGGACTGTAGAGAGCAACAAATACCTGAATCCTTCATGTCACCTGCCATGAAAATAAAACCAAGTAAATAAAGCAGGCTATGAAGAACCTTCACATACATGATGCATGTCAACTAAAATGCAAAGGCAGATGTATCAATAACCAATCCATGATATATATCAGGTGGTATACATCAACTGAAATGCTAATGCTGATGTATCAATAACCAACAGCTTAAAGCTGCACTCTGCTTTTATGAGAGCAGTCCTTGCCTGCTTGAGTGGATCTGCCTCTCGTAAAGGCACAAGTTATCATTTTCTACCTTCAGATAATATCTATAAGACTTTTCAGGTTTTGTTTCATTCACAAATTTCTTTAGGCTTCCCATACACATGAAAAGCAGGAGGAGGAAGGATCTGCTAAGTTTCTCTAAAATGGAAATTCTTTACAGATATAAAGATAAAATCAATGTCTGACTCAGTAGCACTGAGATTAACACCAGATGAGGTTGGGGGTGGCCAATCTCACAGCCTTGCTAAAACAGCATCACAATAACCAAGAAAGAGAAAGCTAACAAACTGTGATAGGGAAGGAAATTTCACTCAGCAGGTTAAATAATTTTTTGGTTCCCCCTTTGACTTTTTTCAGAATTCAACTGCTTCCAGGGATAGCCGGAAGAAAGGAAGCCTCTGACAGATCTCCAAATCCCTGATGCTTCTACACAGGGATGGGAATTCCCAGTGAACATATCTAAGGATGCCATTCTCTTTCACATCAAAACATAAGAGATCAGAGAGGCCATTAATGATATTTTGATTTAAAAGAAAATAAATGGAGGCAAAAAAAAGCATAATTAAGGCTGTGGATTCTCACCATGAAGAGCATATTTAACAATTTTATATTAATTTGCAATGTACTTCTAAGCTTTTCACAGGAGGAATTCAAATGCCTAAGTCATCACACAGCATCATATCATCTACTGATAACCTGTCTAACCCAGCCTCATTTCTATTGATATTTCCTTCCTCTGCCACGTGTTCCACATCTAAAATCTTTCAACAGGCAGTGTGATGTGTCTAACTTCCAGAACGGGAGCCAAAACCCTTTATTTCTGTTCTGTGTGATCCCAAGCACACAAACAAAGTTTCATGTTTCTGAGAAGGGACAGGATTCCCCTACCAATAGGGGAGCAATATACAATAGGCAGCATTTACATACACCATTTTTAACTTCAAAGTGCCTGCAGACAAGAGCCAAAAGCAGTTTTCCAGGATTGCCAGTGCTGTGCACTGTAGCTGAACTGGTCTGCAATGACAAAGACAGATCCCAAGTCCTTCTCCTAGAGAGGCCTCTGCCATTTGAGGCAAATTGAATCTCCTTTGAAATGGATAGCAATAACCTGTAGTTGGTGAGACAGACCAATGGTCCCTTCTGGTCTGCCTCAGGGAAAATAAATTCACAACAGTTCATTACACTTCACAGATGAGGAAACTGAGATACAGGTGCTCCAGGATGTCCTTTGAGATGTACTCAGAGATGAATAAAAAAAAAAGGCTGTAATTAACCCACAAATAATGTTGTTATCCCATTCCAGTTATTGTGAGAGACATAGGAACAAGCCACTCCAAGATGCAACAATTGCAGTTCCAATGATCACAGGCATCCCTTGGTGGAAAAGTCATCTGTAATCCACTGCCATGAGAAAAGAAATATCCTGATTTTGTTCTCACTGAGATGAATGAAAAAACTACCTGGGAGTAGTACCACAGGAAAATGATAATTGAGCTCTTAGAGGAAAAAGATATCCAGGGACACGATTACCTTTTTGTTTCGCATTTGTACAGTACCTAGGGCAGATCCTGAACATAGTATCTTTAACACATAGCTATGGCAGATATGTTGCTCTGAAGGTATCATTTCTCTTCTGAGGGTTTCCAGCACACAGCTCTGCAGGCAGAACAGAACCAGCCAGCACTCTGGACACAAAGCCCAAACACTAAAGGTGAAATGAGGTAAGAGAAGGTTTTCAGTAAGCTGCCTTCCTGCTGAAAAAGGTGAGAAATGCTCACAGGTTGTTCTCCTTCAGCAATGTTTTAGAAATAGAAACTGCCAGGACAGAACCAGTAACAACCAAATCAGAGACAGTGGAAGCAGCAAAGCACCAAAGAGACAAAGCAAATGCTTGCTTTTGTTTTAAAGCCCTTTCTGTTAGCTGAGTCATATCAGACATAACCCCTGTGGGGATCAGCAGAAGTCATAAGAGCACAAATCAACACTCACAGTGTGACTAAACCACACCACACCACTTTCTTCATAATCCTTATCAGTTAATAGGATTTAATGAAAAAGCAGCTACATAGATAAAAGCAGAGGGGGAAAAAAACCCCAACCAGGTGGCCATTCTACTTAAACATGTACTTAAAGCACAGCTATCTGCACTGATGGATCAACTAGTGATTCATAATGAGATGGGGAAACCGGATTAGACAGATTAAATCTCTGCCATGATCCTAATCTGAAGACCACTGTAGAACAAGGAATCAGGGATCCAACTCACAGTTACTCTGAATGGGTGCAGGCCTGTACTGTGCTGCAGGTGTATCCTGTCTGGTATGCACATACCTCTTGGATGCAGAAGCAATTTGCTCATCACCTGACATTAAACCACCTGCCCATCTTCATCTAAGTGTGGCAAAAAGGTCTCTTGTGAACATCCTTTTCATCTGGCAGTAGAAGTGATAAATGGAAACATCTTTAGAAATAAAAAGAAAATGCTCTGAGACCTGAAAAGATCAAAGTGCAAGAGAACCTTTCCACAGACAGATCTGCATAGTGTGCTGTGTCAGACTGGAGAGCTCTTCCATGTCAGACACCTCGGGGTTTCCAGGATCTGATGGAATGTAAGATTATTTATACTCTCCTCTTTTTTTTTGCAATGTTACCTCTAGCAAATGGTGTTTTAAGCAATACTTAAAGAGTCTGAGTTTCTTCCTGGGATTGTAACAAACCAGCACTTCCTGGTGCAAAATATTCTTAAAGAATGGATGTACACTCAGCAGTGGAAAGAAAGTAGTGACCAAGCTAGGCTTGCCCTAGGTTTCCTTGCAATATTCTTACTTATTACTATGACTACTAAATAATTAATATTTACATTGCATATTCATTATTTGCTACTGAAAATGCAGTGTAACAAATAACTGGTACTGCCCTCTGCACAGCTGAGTCCATGCTGTGACATGTTATTCAGATAACACTGAAGAGAACAGGAAGGTCTGTGTGCTCAGCTAATTACCTGACTGGTCAACTGCTCCAGGTCCTGCTCCCATCACATTTTTACCCAGTCTGTGTGTCTTAGATTAAATCATCTGTGTAGATGTGCATGTGCTGAGACAAGTAAGTTAAACTACCATCTCTGTGTAGATATTCTTTGTTCTTGAGGATTAGCTGGGTTACACGATAATGTGGGTTTTTTCAAAGTGGAAATTAGTATAATAGAGAAGAAAGAAAAGCTGCCTTAGACAATACATGCTACATCTCACATTGCTAGCAGAGATATCTGCACAGTTATACTGTTCACATTAAATCTTTTAAATATTTAACACTCTTTCCCAGAATGAAGTGCAAGCCAAATAATGGCTAGCTGCAGCTGAATCCAAATGACAGACCTCTGGGGTCTAAATTCAACTCTAGAGCCCACTAAAATCTTCATATCTGACATTTAATGTCTTATTGATACAGAAATATAACCAGGATGAAGGTGAGTTTTCCTTTTGATGTTTCATCTCATATGGCAAAAGAGACCGTGAAATTTATTTTCTGGAAACATGCTGATGGTGCAACATCATGGCACATTTCTTTCAGACAAAGAAAGTGACGGGCCCTTGCAGACGCTCTAAAATAACTTAAGAGCACAACAGATGTCCTCCTGAATCTGCAGGAGACGCATCTGTATGTACATGACAGAGAAAGCTGGCAAATTACTCACCTGATGCCATATATTAGCCCTCCCCAGTCACATTTCCAGAAGGGAGATCAGCCATCCTGCTGCCCCACCTTAAGCCTGTAATCCCCGTCCTCCACGAATTTTCCAAATGGCATCAAAAATTCTTTTTTCTCACTAAACCTCTTCTCAGGTGGAGCAGATAAACATATACCTGGAGCTTGCTCCTTTTTCCCCTGTTGCCTGGGAAGATTTTTCAGGGAATTTTTACATGTATTCCCACCTAGAGCAGTTTCAGCCACGGAAAAGCTGTAGGACAAGTGTAAAGAGCCACATGTTTCTTCTCCCCAGGCTGACGGGTTAAAGGGAGAGCGAGATCGTCTTTTGAGAGGGTGGGCGGCAAGTTGCAAAGAGGGAAGGAATATTTGATATTTCTTTTACAAAACAGAAGAAGAAAGCGGTGGCGGCGGCCGGGAGACCCCGCGGCCGCCTCTCCCACGCCCCCTCGCGAGACCCCAGCCGCGCCGAGCCCGGTAACAAAGCGCCGCTGCCCAAATCCGTGTCCATTTTCCCACCCGCTGATGCTCCGTTCCCCCTCCGGACCCGAGCCCGGCCATGGCCGAGCGTCGGGCGATGTCCCTCGCTCTCTTTCTCCCCTGTCACCTTGCGCTGTACAGCGCGGCAGCGCTTTGCCCGCCACCCCCCGGGTGATTTTCTTATGCTGGAAAATCCCATCTGACCCACCTGCCTCCTGCCTCACCCGCCGGGCAGCCGAGCGCCCCGGGCCCGACTACAACCTGCTAAATTTAGCCCAGTATCCACAGCAGGGGCGAGCGGGACCGGCGGCGCGGCCGCCGCACGCACACACGCGCGGACATGCGGGCACCCCGGGCACACGCGGCAGGTGCCGAGCGGCAGCTACTCACACCACTAGCCTGGAGATGATCCATGAGACCATGGCGCTGCCGTGTGCCGCAGGGCTGGCTCTCCCGGCAGGGAGGGCTCGCCCGGTGTCCTCGCCCGCTGCCGGCCGCCGCCCGAGTGCGCGGGGCGGGCGGCTCGGCCATCCGGCCCCGCAGCTCAGCGCAGCCTCACTGGCGGCACCGCCCGCAGCCAACGCGCAGCCGGGCCCAGCCGCCCACGCTGGGCAGGGCCCGCAGCCGCCCCCCGCGGGAGGAGGAGGAGCCCCCCACGCTCCCCGCTGCCGCCGGACTCCCCAGAGAGAGACCCCGGGCTGTGCGCGGAGCTTTTGGCTGCGGAAGGGGTCCCTGCCCCACCCACGGCACCGGGCAGGTACGCGGGCGCTCCTGGACCACCGCAGCAGAGCAGGACACGAAAGAAACCCTACGGACTTCACATCAAAGGAAAAGCAAGGCTAAGGCTCGGGGTAGAGGGGTGTCTTCGATCCACACAAAGAGAAAGATTTCCCTGTTTCCCCACACCCTGCCAAGTGTCCAGGTACAACGGACAAGGGTATTGGCCACACGATACAGGTAAATTCTCGTCATCATCACTGATGACAGGCAGCAATCTCTCCTCAACATCAGTTTTCATTAGGGGGTCTCACGGCTGTCAAGTCCAATTTCCATGAGGAACAGCTGCCCACATACAAAACAACATATGTTTTCTTGACCTGCAGGTTGTTCTCTTTAAGTTTCCTTTGTGTTCTTTTCCTTTTTTTCACTGACACATGCCAAATGAGGTTAGATTGCCTGAAATCATCTCCTCTGCTTTGGTTTTTCCCTTCTACTGATAGCACACATGCCCATGGCAATTCATGATGAGGTTTTGTCTTGCAGTAATCCTGAGATCTCAAGCTTGCCACCAGAGCAGCCCCAATCTGTACTTAGAGGTTGGTCTGTGGAGCAGCCGGCCTGTTTCTGGCATTAGGACCAGGGATCCAGCCACCCCTGGCCCTGGGTGCACTGCAGGATTCTCACCTCCATGCCACACACATGGTTCTTTCTGAAGATGGGCATCTGCAGCAAAGTGTCTCCATCATTCTGAGACAGCATAGCTGAAAGATGCTGAAAATCTCTCATGTATTGTGAGTAACCTGGGAAGAACTCTTGCAAGGAGAGACTGAACTTTTCAAACCAGACACAGCAGTTCTAGGAGCTGATCACAGACTTCTCTAGTCCCAGGTTACCACAAACATCCTCATAGCCCTGTCCACAGTATCCAGCCTGTATCATAGAACGGTTTGGTTGAAAGAGACCTTAAAAGTCATCTCGTTCCAGCTCCCTGCCATGGGCAGGAACAGCTCCCACTAGACCAGGTTGCTCAGAGCCCCATCCAGCCTGATTTTACACCTCACCTTTCCCCTGCTGAGCTCAAAAGTCCTCCATAACTCCATAAGAAAAGGATCACCTTTTCTTTTGTTGGCTCTCTGGATCTGGTCCCCAGAAAACCAATACGTCTAGGGACAGACAGACCAACAACCCACAGCCTTCAGGTAAAGCTGCAGGCACAGAGAGACACGTAATTAAAGTTCAGCCCCTCTAGAAATGGTATTCGGCAGAAGATGCGCACGGCTGCGCTGCTCAGCTGGCCGCAGTGGGTCTGTTCCTCCAGCAGGGGGAACTTCCACGCCGCGCTCGGACCGGGCACCTCCGCACCGCCGCCGCGCTACAGCAGCGCTTCTGCTCCCAGCGCCGCAATTTCGGGTTACAGACGGGCTGGGAGCCACGGCTGCAGGTATGGGGCCACCACACACTCCTTCCTCAGGGACTCTAAGGGTCGAGAGTAGCAGCATCGCTCCAGCCAGCATTGGCTGCTGTACAGGCACCACAAAAGCAGGCCTGGGTGGTGCGCTGCAGTAAGCAATGTAAATTAGGCGTCTTCTCCAGGCGTGCTTGCTCTAAGCGAGAACTGTCTTCTCTCCAAAAGAAGCCATTAGGTCATCCAGCCCAAATTCTTAAAGCAGTGAATCATCCTGTGGCTGTCTTGCTTGTATATCGTAGCCAAATAAGTACTTGGAAATCTGTTATCCAAGTTTTTTCCTGTGTCAGGATTATTCAGTGTGAGCTTTTAGACTGCATGTTGGCAGACAATCCATAACATTGCTACAATTAATGATGGGATATTATCAAGTACAAGGCGCAGATCTCTCTGCAAGAATATTTGTTTTATCAACCACAGAACACAAAACTTAGTACTTGCTGCAAATTTCCTGGACCAACAAGAGAAGATATTGGATCATAAAGACAGATAATACAGAGGACAACACCCATAGCTGCAGAATATTAGTGCTCAAATCATAACTCAGCCTCATGTCCTCTTGATTCGCTCCAACGTTGAGCTAAGAGTCACCTCAGAGACTGACTCAGTGAGGTGGGTATTTGCTTTATTCAGTGCCGAGTATGTGGGGGCTCGCTCCTCCTAACACATACATCCCGCAATTTTACACAGCACAATTTATGATTAAATTCATGCATATTCATTGCATTCCTTGGGATAGGAGTGGTTATACAAATTACTCTTGGAAATCATTAATATCGTTAGCATATGTGATGCGCAAGAGCAGTGTACTCTGGTGGTCGCACTGAGGACAGCTCCGAGTCTTCCTCGGGCATCATTCTGATGAAGGCCAGCAGTCTTCCTCACTCTGCCCTTTTCACCTCTCTTTCTGAAGCATGCACAGTCCTTCGCTGGCCGGTTCAGCATTTTCTGCCGACAACAGGTTTTGTTCCTCTTATCTTGGCAAGGTGAATTCTGTTTCTCTTACCTTGACATGGCTAAGGTGCATCCTGCTTCTTAAGCTTGTGATTAATATTTGTTGACTCTTAATAGTCAGCTCATGCTTACATGAGTTAATTACTGGTCAACTCCTTTCACTCTTGCCTCCTTCCAGCCTCTTCCAGTTCACCATGTTCACTGCAACTCCTGCCAGTTGCCATTGCTACTAACCCCACTGGTCTTTTCTGGGCAGCAAACCTCAAAAAGGTTTGAGGATTTTTTCTTTTTTTTTCTGTCTGGCAGCAACCTCTGCCAGGGGTAAGCAGGACATGGACCCTTCTTGTGCTGCTGCTTTGTACACAACTGGCACAACCACCTCATGACTGATCTTAAGCCTCAAATGCACACAATAGTTAATGAGGTAGTCTGGTGATAGCAAACCTAAGGAGCCTGACTATGAATGCAGGGAGCTTTACTGAAACAGCTGTTTGGTAAACAGAGGGTGAAGGAAAGAAATCCAACTCCACTGAGTCACCAGTGGAAGGGTGACAATGCCCCCTACCTACTCCTCATGGGCTGTGTCTTAGGACAGGCCACACAGCTCTGTGCCTATGAGCTTTGCACATGACATCCCAAGCATCCTGGAAAGAGATTTTGTTTGAAGAAAGCCTTCTCTTTGCTGTTAAACCACCTCATCCAGTCTAAAGAAACCAAACCAAACTGAACAGACTCCCAAAAAACAGAGAGACAAAAGAAGGGTTAAAGTGTAGGAAGAGATATGAATTAATTTATACAGCCAGCTCAGCAGAAATGCCATCCAATGCTCATGGAACATTTTGGAACTGCTTTAGCAGTAGAAAGTTTGGCAGTGAAAAATCCTACACAGATTGCACCATTAGATGGTCTGATTTCTGTTTCCCAAATTATGAAATAAATCAGCTTTGTTACTGAAGGCAGATCCACCACCCTTGCCCTAAATACTATGTAGTCTTCTCCTAGCAACTACTTTTCCCAAAAAGTTCACAGCCATGGAAAAGTCAGACCCCCCAACAGCTCTACTATAATCGGACTCATTCCTCTCTGCGCCAGGGAAAGGAGATCTCTGCCTCACAGCTGAACAACAACTGCCAAGCCAGGGCTTCTTAGAACAAAAGCGTCACTGACATACATGCACAGGGCACTGTTACCAAATCCAGAAAAGGTCAGAAAGTAGCAAGTGCAGACAACTCTTATGTCCTCCAATGAATCAGACCTACACCAGAGGCATTCAAGAACAGCTGAAGTGCAGACATCCCAGCCAAGAAATGTACCCAGGAATAGAGAAAAATATCAGACAGAAAACATGTGATAGGTGGGTGCTGAAGTTCATGTGGCACAATGAAATATGAATATAAAAATAGATAAACTACACATAACCATAGTGCACACATATATCATGCAGTGTTGTTACAGCACCTAAAAAGTATCAGGAGAAGAGAGATAGTTTTATCAGGAATAAATAGTCTGCATCCCATCAAGGAATGCATGCACACACACATGCACACACACACATATACTCAGTAAATATACTCAGCCTCTTGAAAGAGAAATGTTTGCTGTTCCACCCACTGGAAAACAATGGGTGATTCCTTGCAGTTATCTCCTGACTTCTACTTGGGAAGTTAAACAAAAGAAAAAAATAAATGAAAACCTAATGGGGTAACAGGGACAGTTAAAGCAAAAATTCAAGAATGCAGCTCCTGAACACAGTAATGAAAAACGCCCATTTCTGAAATGACAGCTTTACTAACACATAGAGAGTAGACAGGAAAAAGTTAATCTGACTCATGGGGAGAATTGTTAAAGCATGGGAAGACATTCAGCATTTCCTGGCTGCTATTTCCATCTTTATTATTGAATTAACTGCTTCAGAGCTATGGACATTAGCAAGGAGAGATTAAGAAATGCCTATTTTGTCTCAAAAGTGGTGTGGTCTGGCACATTTGCACTGGGAATTGTGATTTCTGAGAAACACTCTTCATTTCAGTGACTCACTACCAGAGCTTGGGGAAAACACGGAGACCAGCATATCTGAATGGACCATTTGGCTTCAAGTAACCAAAATGGGAGGGCTTAGCCTCAATTATCCAAATACAGAACTCTGCAAAGTGCAGCCACTGATACTCAGTATCTCAGATATTAAGCTCAGAATACCTCAGGTTGTGTATCAAAAGTATCTTCTGGGAAGTCTGTTCTTTGCTTTCCATGTCCTCTTCTGTAACTTACATGATACAAGATGTCTCTGCCTTGGAACAAATCCATGTTTTAGATTAATCCATTAGTGGTTCTGAGGTATCTGCAGGCCCTCCAGCTCCACGTGAAATTATCCTAGTTCAGTATGT